GTCATTATCAGTTGACACCTGTCAAACTGCGACATGTACACCTTACAAGGAATTAACACACCAAATATTATTGAACTATCATACCTAATTACTGAGAAACTGACTTATTCACGGACGCTTGATCCTAGTCACTGGACGATGACAATGACCTTAAGGTCAGTACCTTACAACACATTCGCAAACCACATATTATGGACCTATCATATCTAGTTACTAAGAGTCTAACCTTACAACGAAAACTTGACCCTGGTCACCGACAATGAGGTCAAACTGACCTAGTCGACACATGTTAGACAGACATGTACACCTTATGACAAATTCATACAGCAAATATTGACCTACCATACCTAGTTACTAGCGATGAAACTGACATAATCACAAAAACTTGATTGTGAGGTCAAGGTCAGTTGACATATGTAAGACTGACATGTACACCTAACAATGATTTCACACTCCAAATATTATTGGCCTACCATACCTTGTTACTGCGAAACTGACCTAATCATGATAACTTGACCCTGGTCACTGGACCATGACAATGAGGCCAAGGTAAGCCGATATGTGACCGACTGACAAGCTTATGCCTCAAGTTACATTGGCACCAAATTTAATGGTCCCAGGTCAAAAATTTCGTGAGATATATGCATTTAAACCAGAGGCTCTAGCGAGCCTGGTTAAAGAAGTAGTTAGTATGTTTTTCTTATAGGGTTCAATGTTAAACTATATTTGGCCATGGAATCCATGTTGGATTTGCAGTTGCCATAAAAATCATAAAATTGTCAAATTCAGGACAATCATTTGATCATTCCTGCATAAAGTAGATTCATTGTACCATACGGATGCTCAACGAGAGCAGTTCACATGTTTTCCCTTATGGTTCTTTGTTAAACTGTCTCGGCCTGTGGCGACCATCTTGGTTCTCCAATCAGCACCGAATTCATTAAAATTATTAAGGACTATTATCTGATCATTTATCCATAAACTGGAATCGATATGTCAAAGTTTCTTTGTAAAAGTTGTTTGTACATTTGTTTTCCTATATGTTTCTATGTTAAATTGTATTTGACCATGGAAGCCCTCTTGGATTTACAGTCGACACCAAAATCATAAAATTTATCAAGAATCTTCATTTGATCATTCATGCATATATTGGATTCATTTTGTAATATGGTTTCTAAACCAGAGGCTCTAGAGAGCATGTAATCGTTCACTTGGTTTAAAAGAAAACGGTTTCTCAGTAGAAATAGTTTGCATTTTTTCCCATAGGGTTCAATGTTAAACTATGTTCGACAGTGGCGGCCATCTTGGACTTCCGATCGGCATTAAAATCATAAAATTTATGAAGGACCATTATCTGATTATTCATGCATAAACTGGAATCAAAATATCACACAATGTCTCCGTAGACGTTGTTTGCATGCTTTTCCCATAGGGTTCTATGTTAATCTATGTTCGACTGTGGCGCCCATCTTGGATTTCCGATCGGCACCAGAATAATACAATTTATGAAGGACAATCATTCGATCAGTCCTGACATATATTGGATTCAAAATGTCAAAAGGTATCTGAAAAAGAGCAGTTTTTATGTTTTCCCATAGGGTTCTATGCTAAACTAATTCCTGCGGTGGCGGCCATCTTGGATTACGGATCGGCACCAAATGAACAATCCTTGATGAGGTCTACCCAAGGAATATTCCTGCCAAGTTTGGTTTGAATTTGCCCAGTGGTTTCAGAGAAGATGTTTACATACGACACCGACGGACGCAAAGTGATGACAATAGTTCACATGGTCCTTTGGACCAGGTGAACTAATAAAAGTTTACGCCGTCTCGACTTTAGAGACTCGGACAGTCACAGGCGAGTCAGAAACTAAAGGTATTGTTATCACAGGATTTCCACTTCTAAACATGATTAAAATATGTGAACTGTCCGCTATGTGGGACTAACACACCTGACATAATCAAGTCCAATTATCTCCATTTTAAGATGTTGGACCAGATTTGTTTTGCTTCATGCACATCTTCATATGGTGTACTAAGTTTCTTTGAAATCTATCCAACAGTTTAGGAGTTGTCAATACCATATGAATCAAATAAATGTCGAAGTCTAATTATCTCTCCTTCAAGATGTTAAACTGTCAATTATTTTGCTTTAGGCACATATTCATATGTTTTACTACTCTGTTGTGTGAGGTTTCATTAAAATCCATCAAACGGTTTAAGAGGATTTGTAATATTTCCTTGTAATTAAGTCCAAGGTGAAAATACACAAACATAAGTTGATCCCTTTCTTGCATCCTTATTTGCAACACGCTATAAAACGCGATTTTACATTTCTAGCGATAGACTTTACATCTCCAGCGCTTGACTTTACATCTCCAGTGCTACACTGTATATCTTCAGCGCTACACTTTACATCTTCAGCGCTGGACTTTACATCTCCAGCGCTGGATTTTACATTTCCAGCGCTTGACTTTACATCTCCAGCGCTAGACTTTATATCTCCAGCGCTTGACTTTACATCTTCAGCGCTGGACTTTACATCTCCAGCGCTTGATTTTACATCTCCAGCGCTAGAATTTACATCTCCAGCGCTTGACTTTACATCTCCAGCGCTGGACTTTACATTTCCAGCGCTTGACTTTACATCTCCAGCGCTAGACTTTGCATATCTTCAGCGCTAGATTTTACACATCTCCAGCGCTAGACTTTACATCCCCAGCGCTAGACTTTACATCTTCAGCGCTTGACTTTACATCTCCAGCGCTAGCCTTTACATCTTCAGCGCTGGACTTTACATCTCCAGTGCTACAATGTATATCTCAAGCGCTTGACTTTACATCTCCAGCGCTTGATTTTACATCTCCAGCGCTAGACTTTACATCTCCAGCGCTTGACTTTACATCTCCAGCGCTGGACTTTACATTTCCAGCGCTTGACTTTACATCTCCAGCGCTAGACTTTGCATATCTCCAGCGCTAGATTTTACACATCTCCAGCGCTAGACTTTACATCCCCAGCGCTAGACTTTACATCTTCAGCGCTTGACTTTACATCTCCAGCGCTAGACTTTAGATCTCAAGCGCTAGACTTTACATCCCCAGCGCTAGACTTTACATCTTCAGCGCTTGACTTTACATCTCCAGCGCTAGACTTTAGATCTCAAGCGCCTGACTTTACATCTCCAGCGCTAGCCTTTACATCTCCAGCGCTAGACTTTACATCTCTAGCGCTAGACTTTACATCTCCAGCGCTAGACTTTACACAACTTCAGCGCAGGACTTTAAAAGACACTTTATAATCTATGTGAGACCAACAGGGCTCCGTAGTTGTCAGTTTATTTTCGACTTAAGAGTTTGAATATCCCTTTGGTATCTTTCGGCTGTCTTTTAAAAGAAAAAAAGGTATCAATGTTAAACGTACGAACAAAAAAGGGAGATTTATACCCGTCAAATGTTCCATGACTTATTTCGCAAAAACAACGACACATACCTTTCTACTATTTTAGTTCTGTTGATTATATGCTATCAATTTATAACAGTCTTTTTACAAGTAACTTCTATGCCAGTTAGTCTTTGATAGAGAGTGTTCTTATTGGCAATCATGAATAGCGAATATTATCAAAAACAACGGTTGTTACATATAATCATTCAGTTTCTGACTTCATACAAACTTGGTAGATAAACGGGTATAGTTGAGGCAAAAATTTTTAAATGTTTAGTCACGTCTTGTCGGAATGGAATGTAAATTTGATATTTCGTGAAGGATGAATACCACGCGCTCTGCACACACTAAACCAATTGAGGGATCCGTGGTCATTATAGAACAAATCCATAAGGCGTTTTTTTTTTCATTTCCAACACTGAGAAAATATCGCTGATCGGGATAAACCAAGGATGACGTTAAGAGTGCAATTCTATACATTATATAAGATTTACATTTTTCAAAGAAATGATGAACATATGATTGTATTTACATTTCATATTAGTAATTTACATAAATATATGATAAAATGAGTTCTGACGGGAAAACACAGAAACACGACAAAACAAAATTGATCATTTCCTATCAAGAAATCATGGTCCTCAGTGCTGATGTCATCTTCACTTGCGGAGAGATTTAAATGTAAAATAATCAACAGCAACTCACAAATTTCCCCTATCGCAATTCACGCCCCTTTAGAAAAAAGAAAAAAAAAACCAACACATTACACATTATTGTAGACTGGAGTCCATTCTCGACAATAAAGATGAGCAATATTTTATTCAGCTGAGAATAAAATGAACGACAAATAATTTATTCAGCTGAGAATAAAATGAACGACAAAGAAAGATAAAAGGATAACATTTATTTAGTCATCATGGAGAGTCTACCAAATTCTATTTTCAGTTAGCCAAACCGCCAATGATAGAGTGCACGTGAAGTTAACAATGTGATTGTTAGCAACGTCCGATTATATGAATTAGAAACTCCCGGTGATATGTTTTACGATGCATCATTAACCAATCGAAATCCGAGAAATATATATGGGTATTAAAAAAGTATAACAAAAATACTGAACTCCAAGGCAAATTAAAAAAGTGAAGTCCATTAAAATTGACAAAATCAAACGCTATCAATCAACGCAACCAGTGTTTTGGTATTTTTCCTCCTCGTATCTTACCTATTCGGTTTCCATAAATGTGGTCTCAAACGGTCTTGATAACATTTATCAGTTTTTATTGTTGTGCACACTTAAATTAGGATTGCATGTTTATAATTTTGTCTCCACTATACCAAGTGAGAGGTTTAGCTAGCTATAAAACCATGTTTAAATCAACCATTTCCTACATAAGGAAATGCCTGTACCAAGTCAGTAGTATGACAGTCGTTTTTCGTTCGTTTGATGTATTTGAGCTTTTAATTTTGCCATTCAATAAAGGAATTACCGTTTTGAATTTTTCTTTGGAGTTCGGTATTTTTGTTATTTTACTTTTTGCAAACGTCATTACTTACTTGGAGTAACCAAAGTAACTGTTGATGTTAATTGATCATCTTGTGTTGTAATTACTGTAGTTTGAACAGTATTGGAGGTTGATGCTAGAGCGTCAGTCGTTGTTTCCGTTGTTGTTATGACGTCAGCACTTTCGCGTGCTGTAAAAGTTAGGAAAATTGATAGCTTGATTAATTTTTACTCAATATATAATAAAACGTATTAATAAATGAAGCCAAATTTTCAAATATACATTTTGATATTGTACAAAAAAGACTTCGTACGAGTAGAAACTTTCATTTAGTGTCCATACTAAGCAATATTTAGAAAAAAACGTTAAGTCTAATCAAATTCAACCATTTTATACAGTGGTTATTATTTATTATAGTAGGAATAAATTAAATGAACACATCTAAAAGAAATATAAATATAGGTTGGACTTTTGAGTGCAAAATTTGATAAATGACTTCCGCTTCGTCCAATAATTATGTGCTAATAATTTGAGAAAACAGAATGACTTGCCATTTGGTTAAACATTTATGCATTGAAAGTAAATGTATATTGTAGGTATTCCAACTTATTCTTAAGGTTGTTCACTCCTCTTGCTTTTGAATTTTTGCCAAATATTCAGAATCCTCTGGTTTTATCCATGTAGTGTCTTTAAAAATTTTGCCTACTAACCCCTACTTTTCTTTCCATAATTTGATTACATATAGTTTAAAATGTAATCTTTGAAAATCTCATAAAAACCTTGTTATTTTTTTTATTGTTTTTGAAAGAAAAAAAGGTGCTAATGTTAAATGTATGAAATATCTAGAGAGAAGTGTTTCTCGCCAAATTTTCAATGGCTTATATCTCGAAAACAAGCACATGGATCCGTCATTTTTTTCTACCTTTTTAGTTTCTTTATTTATATACTATCAATTTATAACAGTCTTTTAAAAAAGCTTGTTATTTTGAAACAGAGTAGCGAACATCCTTAAAAGTATAAAACAGACGAACATCATAATTGTTTAATTTTCTTGCTATCTGTATCAATCAGGGCATGTGACTCTTCAAACCGTAGCAGTCTAACATTTCCCCCATTTATCTTTAAGTGTTAATAGTAGCAAAGAGCACAACAACTATCAAAGGTAAACAAATCATAACCGATAAGTAATTCGCGTTGTCGTACGAATATGACTGTTGACTACTAAAACTGATGAATAAAGGATGAGCTAAATGATAATAACAACAACAGAAATTTAGTCGTCCAGGCAACCTAAACATTAGTTTACATAACTTAAAACATTTTGAGTTCATGATTTGACATTTAATCTTAAAGGTTCTTTCTGCGACAACATAGAATATTCCTAAACCGATTCACAAGTTACATGGTCTTCTAATCAAAAATAAGATACAATATTTTATTGGAATATCGATAAAGGGTAGTTTACTTAAAACAAAAATATATAAAACAGCTGTTTGGTTGATCTACAGCAGGAGATGTTTACCCACGTTATACACCTATTAAACTTTATGTGACTTATGTAGACATCTCTGTTTTCGTTCTTTACAAAGGATATCAAAATATCGAGCATGCATCTACTGTACACTTTATTGCTATTTTCCATATCAGGCTACTCGCTTGAGATGGAAAAATTATCTTCAGAAACTAAGGGCGCTCGTGACATTGTCAATGTAACTATCAATGACATCATAGGCAAAATAGCGATAAACAGATTATTAATGGTCTTTCATACTCGAGGATGTTTCTCGGTCACATCTCATTTCAGGGCTGTCGCCCTTGGACGATATTGTAGCTGAGAAACACCCTCTATCTGTATATTAAAATAGTATACTAAAATTGATACAAATAACATATAACATTCTAACATGGTTTAATAAGTATGAATTTCTAACTAGTTAATAAGGACAGTTTCAATTAGTATAATGTAACATAACATAAAAACTGAACTCCGAGGGAAATTCAAAACGGAAAGTCCCAAATCAAATGGCAACACCAAAAGCTCAAACACATCAAACGATTGTATAACAACTGTCATATCCCTAACTTTGTATCTTATTTAACATGTTATTTCTTCTACGTAATATCATTTATGTCTTATTTTCTATTTGCCCACCCTTTGTAAACAATTTATTGCTGTTTTTGATATAATTATTTCCCTTAAGTAATGTGTTCACCTCAATTCATATTTTGATAATGTTTTTTAAACATTGTATCATAATGATAAAATAGTACTTATTGTATATTCATAATAGACTAGCAGTAATAGTAATAATAATAATAATAATAATAATAATAATAATAATAATAATATTGTTGTAGTGTTTTTACTTTTACGCTAAATACTTTTCAGTTGTGCTCTTGAATTTTTATTTTAAATTTAAAAATTCCTTCTACTTATTACTTATGGTCTGTGTGTTACATCGCCACCGCTAACCAAATAACATGTTACATGTAAGGTATTTGTCGTCACATGATCACTGACTTGGTACCAAAAATGTGAAATGCGCTAACTAAAACAAACAATCCACATGGTAAATACAGGTTCAATAAACATGTAATGTCCTCTAGAATCTGTTTTGATCATTTTAATTCTAATCATTGAAACATACAAAAGCTTTTACTTCTTTTTACATTTTTGCCTTGCATATTCTGAAATACTAACATGTTGAGATTAGCAGAGATTTTTATATAACAACATTGTTCACTGTTTCTTTTTCAAATTATAATGTATTTGTAATATCGTACCTGTGCAATCTGTGAAATTAAAGTCAACTACCATTATACTTGTTCCATTACACATTGCGCCTGCATTACCAAGAGTCTGATTTTGTAGAAATAACTTGAGTTGTAACAATTCACAGTTGACACATTTCAGTGGATTGTCAGATAAATCCCTTAAAAAAGAAACAATACATTTAAACTTTGAATTCATTCTTTTCACAGCATTCACGGAGCATCAACATTTTCCCTGCGTCATAGTTTGTGAATAGGATTATCAATCAATCAATCATTGTGTTATAATCTTAATCACTATACAAACAAACAATTATGACAACAAAGAGAAACAAAATAGCTTATAGACAAACCACGTAAGCAAAAATGAAAGACAGGAATGCAAAAAATGACCAAAGCACCATAACACAATGGCTTGGATGTATGAGTACCGAGCCACCCCAAAAGGATATTCTCAAAAATGGAATAAACAGCAAATGTTAATAATTTACAAAGACAAATAAAGAACATTGAATGACCGCTAGTTGAATATACTTAATCTGAATATTTTTGATCCATCTGATTGAATAGCAGTGAGAACAAGAACTTTAGAAAGATGTTGAGTCAAACAGCTCAACGACACGGCTATATATCGTTCTTTAGAAGAATTTGTGTGAGTGGTAGTTATCCCGGATAAAAATAGGATATTTTCATCATTCTTTTTCATGTTAATATCAAAGGAGAGAAGGACAGATATTTGATTTTCTGAAATCGGCTCTTTCGAGAATGATATACTGAGATTTCCAGTTTTACTGACATTCCAAGTTCGTTGCTGAAACATTCCAAATAATAGTTTCCGCATATAAAACAATTTTTCTAAACACTTTGTTTGTTAGAAAAAAACAACATATTTTTCGTAAAGGGAAGATAAAGCATCCTAAACCTTGGACGTCGGAAAGGATCAGAAACATGTGATCTCATTGTACATCGAAGGTTTCGAATGTGCTTTTAAAAGGAAGCAATTTTAAAACAATATAAAACAATTAAACAACTGACAAATCAATATCTTCATTATGTGCACCTTTTTTTGCTTGATTATCTATAAACTACATACCAAATATTATTTGAAATAATGATATTTATATAAACACTAAAGTTTTGATTCAACAGAGTTGAATATTAAAAATAAAGGATCTCTTTCAGCCTTTTAACTCTTTTCAACATAAAAACACTTTTATCGACTTAATTGATATTTCAAATGGTGATGGAAGACAGTTACTTAATTGAAAATACGCTTTACTTAACTGTTGTGTGTTGTTTTATATTTTAAATCGCGAGATTAATTTTTGCTATTTCCGAAAAATCAGCATACAGATTCATACATTGAATTAAGAATGCTACGATACTTACCCAGATAATTCTATTAACATCAATATGCAATATATTCTTATTTCGAGAAATCGCGCCTCTTTTCTCTAAATATTTAGGACATTATCTTATAATAAGTTTCTTTTCATTTTGTTTACCCTCAAATTTGGAGACAATACAGAAAGTGAACGTATAAAACGGTTAATTTTCAACTGTTAAATGGGTTTTATAATTGTGATTCACTAAGGTCTTCTCTCCAGGTATTCCAGCTTCTCCAAACTGTGTAAAACAACTGACTTCTATGCAGTAGTCAATAATGTTGAAATAGAAGTTAAGCACTTACAATCAATCAATCCATTAATGATTTACATCGTCAGATTTATTTGTTTTAAATTTAGTAGAATCATGTCTGACATGTGCATGTATGATGAACAATATAGTAATACAAAATGCATGCTTACTTGAAAAATTACAGAACGCTTTTCAAAATCAAGAAGGAAAAAACTTAAAAAATAGTTTTTCATAAACATTTACTGTAATTGGACATCATATATTACTAAACGGAGAAATGAGATATAATATACATTTACTTACAAGGTTTGAAGCGCCGTCAGGTTTTGGAATACATTTTCTTCAAGCATGGTTAAATAATTATTTGACAGGTCTCTGCCACAAAATAATGATTTTGAAAGGTAATTTTTCATTACATTTGTCACCATAAATACGAACAGATGTACCTTGAAAAGGTTTTGTTTATGACAGTTTCATTGCAATAATATACGCAAGAATGACAATTAATCTGAAAAACTTATATCAGTGATTATATTTGCAAGAGACGTATGCAAAATTTACTTTTCTCCCGTTAGAGATTAATACCAACGTTTGACATGTTTGATAATGTTCATGAACAGCAACTTATATGATTAAGATCGAAGAGGGTTTTACAAACTGACAAATTTCATGCGTACCAAATATATTTTGTAGAAGTACTTTTGGTTTACAAATATATACTTTTTTCATTATTCTTGTGTTTCTGTAGCTTATTTGCTATTATGAAAATCTTTTCAAAATTTATATCATTATTTTATTTCAGTTTTACTTTTATTTTTCGACTCGAGCATCATCAGCACTTCATCGTTATATATTGATGTCAATTTTCAAATAGTTAATATTACATTGGAAACCTGTTGAATGTGTTAACAGATAGGACAAAAAACTAACTAGTCAAGCCGCAATTATTCAAACGTGCAATTTTCAAATACTCCTAAAAATGCAATATTTAAGTCGAAAAAAGAAAAAAAAAATTTGCGTCCAAAAACGTTTTAGGATTTCCTTTCACTCTACGTTGCATTCGATACTTTTTCACACCTATCAGCACCTTATATTAAAAGTAACGGTCATTACGAATGTGTGCGACAGTTCATTACAACAAATAACCTAAAATTCTCAACAACAACAACGACCTAATCAATTTGATATCATCAATATGTGTGTTTTAAAATAACAAAATGATATCAAAATCAATCGGGTCCAGGACCAATCCAGTATATCTTATTATAATCCTTCGTAATTAATTCCATTTTCTATGTGCATTAGAGTAATTTAGAGCTGGTAAACTCAGTGTATGATAAATATTTCTGGTTATGGAATACATTCTTCTGCATTTATTTTCATATTTTTCTAGAAATTCACACTTGCATGTTTGTAGTAAAATTATTGTGTGTGTATTTTTAGAATAGGAAACCAGATCAGTTCTGGGTTTCTAATACTAAAAAAGGTGTTTCGGTTATGGTCATGTAGACCTAGGCCTATCCTCATCAGGTATCCCTAGCCTATATGTTTCCTTTCTTGTAATATGCAGAATAGTTTCAATTTGATTTCTCTTATGGGGATACGACACCTGTTTATACAATCGTTTTTTATCTTTTTTCTTCTTCTATTTTTTTATCTTATGTTTGATTCCGTCTGTTTATATGATTTTTTTTTTATTTGAATTCGTTAAATACTCTTTTAGATTTTTATGTCTTTTGTATGTAAAACGTTTGCTCATTGCTTTTAATACTCTATTTGAGAGATTAAATATCTTTTTTTGATATCCTATTTGAGTACAAATTAGTTATTAAAGCAGTCTCTATTTGAGAGATTACTTCATTTTTGCTATTCTATCAAAGCAGTCTCTATTTGAGAGATTACTTTATTTTTGCTATTCTATTAAAGCAGTCTCTATTTGAGAGATTACTTTATTTTTGCTATTCTATTAATAGCAGTCTCTATTTGAGAGATTATTATATGTTGTTATTCTATTTGAGAATAACTTGTATGTATTATCAATTTCTATTTGAGAGATGACTATTACTTTTTCTTTACAAAAACAAGACAAAATAGTCCTTTACTTTCTATGTTATAGCGTTAAAATAGATCCTGCACTGTGTGATAGATAAGTATGTGTATTTTATCAGTCAAATATTTCTATCTAATTGCCTCCACGTGATTACAAGACCTCGTATGCTGATTGGTTGATTCTATATCTATATCTCTAATATCCCCATAAGAGAAATCAAATTGAAACTATTCTACATATTACAAGAAAGGAAACATATAGGCTAGGGATACCTGATGAGGATAGGCCTAGGTCTACATGACCATAACCGAAACAAGGCACGTTAGGAGTGGGGTTTGTTGAGAGTTAATGCAATTAACCATGTATGTTGCTCTGTGAGGCAGAGTCGACACCCCTAAATCCACATCTGCATATGACCCTGTTTAATTCTTGAATTTGAATTATTGGGAGATATTTTTTTTACATTTTCATTTTAGAAATAAATCAAAATTTGCTCGGGGTTCTTTCTCTTGATTACGGAGAAGCTTCTGTCTAAGTTTTGTAAAACTCCATGAAGGTTTGACAAAGTTATTTAAATTCTTTCACAACAGAGTATACCTAGATGTTGACTGCCAAAAAAAGTATTGTTTGTATATTACGGAAGAATTGTTTATTCTACATGTCAGGTATTTATCGAATATGAGGAATCTTTTTTCAAAGTTTCATCAAATTCCTTGAAGGTTTGGATTTATTACTAGTAACTGTAACACTAGGTTGTACCTAAATGTTTATTGAACAAAAATAATTATAATCATCAATAAAATACAGGAAAGTTTTTTCCTCAGTTGATATGTTTTTGATCAAGAAGAAACTTCTGTCCGTGTTCTAAAAAAATCTAAAAAGTTATTGATGTCTTAAAACTTTAACCCAAGACTATATCTAAATATTAACTTCACAAATGCTTTTTATCAGTAAGTAAAAAAAAAATGAAAGAGCTATTTTGATGTTTTACTCTTGATCTTGTAGAAGCTACTTATATCATTCTAAGGGCCTCGGTGGCCAAGTTGTCTAAGTAGTCGAACTACTGTATCACTAGCCTGTCAACACTGAGGTTGTGAGCTCGGAACCCGCACTTGGCAGGTGCGCTCGACTCTGATCATAATTGACTAGGATTGTCAGTTTTTTCACCAAAAGTCAGTGGTTCTCTCCGGGCACTCCGTCTTCCTCCAAAAATTAAAACTGACTACCATGAAATAGCACGATGGTGCTGAAAGTGGCGTTAAACACCAATCAATCAATATATCATTCTATGATGCAGCTACAAAGTTATTAATGTAAAAACACTAAACCATCAGATTTTATTCAAATAAACATATCATAGATAATAGGCTTAAGATTGTTTACGCCAGACGCGGGTTTCGTCTACAAAAGACTCATCAGTTATGCTCAAATCAAATAAGTCAAAAGGCCAAATTAAGTACGAGGTTGAGGAGGTGGGGTCCAAAATTCCAAACGGTTTTGTCAAATACAGTTAAGGTTATCTATTCTTGGTATAAAAAACCTTTATTATTTCAATAAATTCAAAGTTTCATAAACAATGTTAGTGCATAAAAAACTTAGTTAATAAATGTGTAAAGTTTTGAAAAAAGAAAAAAATCTCTGAAAGCTGTCAATGTAAAGAGGAAGCGTCTGTCATTTAAGCAAAATTTCATGACGATTTAAGAAACTTATTGATGTTTACACTTAAAAAAAAATAACCAAAGAATGAATCTAATTTTTTACGGGACGAGAGAAAATAATTGCTATGTCTAGCTTTGGCGACTTTAAAAGCAGGCTAGACAAATATTGAATTGTAAAACAGAATATATTGACAATATCAGATTATTTTTTCTTTTGTTTATAAATTTTTAATTACTTTATTTTTTTTGAAACTCATGTTGAATTTTGGAATCATTGTTTAGAGAATAAATTTTAAAGTTTGCACTTGATACGGGAATATTGCATTCAATATCAAAAGTTTCATTCCAGTACACAATAAAAATATTTCTGAAAATATGTTTATTCTTAAAAATCAGTATTTCTTATTCATATTTATCTTACTTATCTTAGATATATGCTTTAATATGAAAATACACTGTTAAAAACTAAACACAAATACTTCATTTTTTAAAATTTCACATTGCCTTGTATTTATTAAAAAAAGGCGGGGGGGGGGGGGGGGTATCTTGTGCATGTAAATTCAAAAGTAAGTAATTTCGTGCTGTAAAGATATATAAACAAGTGTTTGATTGAATGATGTACATGTATCAATAAGCTGTTAATTGGTTTATGTTCTGGATATTAAGCTCTTAAGGAATTCAAAAATCTGGCGTTTGTACGGAAGCGTATTAGCGCCACAAAAACTTTTTTTTCATGTTTCTTCATATGTTTGCGTTAAAACGCAAAACTTTGGAACCTAACGAACCTTTGCGAAATAACGCAAACATAACTCAAACCATTGCGAAAAAAAGCAAACCTTTGCGTTATACCGCAACCATTTGTTTAATCTTATTTCATGAGAGTCAGCTGTTATAGATGGAAGGGACTGCATGTATTTTACATGCTACACAGTCTAACAAAATGGGGTAACAACCGTTACGTTTGGGGACGGCAGAACTCCATAAATCGTAATCATTGATAATAGTAAACCTAGTCTGATACTGCTTTAGTTTAGATTCAGTTTTCATTTTCGTCTTGATCAATATTGTAAAAATGTATACATACTGACGGTTTAGCGCTGGTAGGTTTTGAATTGCTCCTACTGTTTTGTAGTTATTTGATTGCTGTACAAATTCGAATCAAAAAAGTTCAATACCTTATTGAGTAAAAAGCAACAAACGTAAAATTGGCTAATATATGAGCGGTGTTGGATAGAAATTTACCTTATGCAAGTGCAGGTTTACATGTACATGTACATGTATAAGATTTTTATCATTTCTGGAACATTCAAATACGAAATAAAAGATGAATTGTGGTGTGTTTTGTTTCTTATATCAACTCAACACCAAACAGTTACAACTTTGCATAGAGATTTGGTCAACCCGAAATAAGTTAACAAAGATATTTATATTAATTTGCATATGGTCGATTTCTATCCAACGCAGCTTATGTATTACTTTTAAGAAAATTTTATATTGTATTTGATATACGAAGATTTATCTAGTTTTGATAAATATTGTATATTTATATCGATGCGACAATGACACCAGTCAGTTAACAATTTTCAATATAGGCAACAGCAGTTTACAGATGTTCAAAAAGGACCCAATGACAGGTTATTTTCTAATGGACTTTATGATCATTCTTCAATATTTAAAAGCAAAGTGTTTTTATAAAGGTGTTTAATATAAACTCGTCATAGATACCAGGATTCAAATCTTAGACGCCAGACGCGTTTTTTAACTGTATAAGACTCATCAGCAACGCTTGAACAAAAAAAGTTCAATTCATTATTGAGTAAAAGGCAACTTGCCAGACGCGTTTTTCATCTGCAAAAGACTCATCAGCAACGCTTGAATAAAAAAACGTTCAATTCATTATTGAGTAAAAGGCAACAAACGTAAAATTGGCTACGACAACACGTTATTTGGTAACGTTTGGCAAGTGCATTTTTTTTATCCATATGCATGATTATTAATTCGGTATTCACTATGTTTTATCGACATAGTATTGTTACACTCTTCTACTTATTAAAACGTCATGGAATGCAATTAGATTAGCGTTATTAATTTCAAACCCGTATTAAACAATTTACCGAGCAATTGCACTAAACCGTGATTTTACTCCGCCAAATTAGCCTTACGACAATGTATTTATTTCCATTAATTTTCCCAAACAAAGTATACGAAAATAAATAAATTTTTCGAAGACCTATGAATGCTATGGACAATCTCAAATTTACCAGCATGTGTCATATTTTCGTTTCTTCCGTATGAGATTTGAAATTTGTTTTGACATTCTCGCTTATTAATATAAGCTACACAGTTGAACCAACTGGAGCAACAACCGTTACGTTTGATGACAGTAGAACTCCATATATCGTTTTCATTGATAATAGTAAACCTAGCCTGACACTGCTTCAGTTTAGTTTTAGTTTTCATTTTCTTCTTGATAAAATATTGTAAAAATGTATACACACAGAAGGGTAACTGCTGGTAGGTCTTGAAATGCTCCTTGCTGTATTGTAGTTATTTGATTGCCGTTCAAATACCCGAAACAAAATAGGGGTAATGTTTCATATATTTTACAGAAAGGAAATTGTTTATTATCATTGATATGTGAATATTTATCTAGTTTTGATTAGTATTATATAATGATATTGGTTTGACCATGACTCCAGTTGATCAACAACTTTAAATAGAGGCAACACCAGTTAACATATGTTAAAACAAGCTACATCGACAGATTGTTTTGTAATGAACTATATGATCTTTTTTCAATTTTTCAAAGCAAAGTTTGTTTAATACGTTGTTTAGTATAAAATCATCATAGATTAAAATTGTGTGCGCCAGACGCGCAGTCCAATGTTAAATGCCTTTTTTATCCTTATTAGTAATGGCATATAACTTTATTATCTACTATAGATTGTCTATCTAGCTTTATTACACTCGTCTTCTTATTAAAAACTAATGGAATACAACCCCATTAGCGTTTTAAATACCTAACCGTTTACGACAATCAATGTATTTCCAGTCATTTTCCAGAACAAAATATGTGAAAATAATAAACACTTAATATAAACGTTGCTAAGCTGATATAACCTAAAGTATATCCCAAAACCGGACAAGGAATGAAAGCTCTGTATGAGGTAGATGACCAACATGTTTTGTGTTCGAATTATATTGCTCAGATTTAAGATTTTTTTTTATCCTGGCATCAATGATTAGTTTTTTCCAACCACTTGGTCGATGACACCTCTTATTGGGGTTTTCCTCCTGAGGAAATCATCAGCCTAGAAGTCAGCACTTCTATGTTGACATGAACGATTGTTGATATGGTCTCGATTATAAATTGACTGTTTACAAAACCTTTATTTTTTTCGAAAAACTAAGGATTTTCTACCAAAGGAATAGAGTACCTAATTAGCTTTATTTGGCATCATTTTCGGAATTTTTGGTCGTCAGTGTTCTTCAACTTCTTACTTCATTTAGCCTTTTTAACATTTTTAATTCGAGTGTCTAATGTATTTTTTTGGGGGGACAAAACGCGTACAAAATTTTAATTCTGGTGTCTGTGATGTGTCTTTATACTATGTCATGGTTTGTAGACAGTTGCTTCTCGTTTTTGTCATGGTTTTGTCGTTTTTTTTTACGACCTATGAATGCTATGGACAATCTCAAATTTACCAGCATGTGTCATATTTTTGTTTCTTCGGTTTGAGATTTGAATTTGGTTTGAAATTCTCGCTTATTAATATATGCTACACAGTCTAACCAACTTGGGCAACAACCGTTACGTTTGAGGACGAAAAAACTCCATATACTGTAATCATAGATAAAAGTAAACCAAGTATGACATTGCTTTTGTTTAGGTTACGTTTTCCTTTTTCTCTTGATAAAATATTGTAAAAATGTATACATACAGAGAGGTTAGCGCTGGTAGGTCTTGAAATGTTCCTTCCTGTATTGAAGTTATTAGATTGCTGTACAAATCCCTGAAACGAAATAAAGGTAATGTTTCATATATTTTACACTAAGGAAATTGTTCATTATCACTGATATGTGAATTATTATCTAGTTTTGATTAATATTATATGATGATATTGGTGTGAATTTGAACCTAGTCGATCAAGAACCTGAAATATAGGTAACAGCGGTTTACAGATGATAAAAAAATCTACATTGACAAATTGTTTTCTAAGGAACTATATGATCCTTCTTCAATATTTAAAAGCAAAGTGTTTTTATAAAGGTGTTTAATATAAACTCGTCATAGATACCAGGATTCAAATCTTAGACGCCAGACGCGTTTTTATCTGTATAAGACTCATCAGCAACGCTTGAACAAAAAAAGTTCAATTCATTATTGAGTAAAAGGCAACTCGCCAGACGCGTTTTTCATCTGCAAAAGACTTATCAGCAACGCTTGAATAAAAAAACGTTCAATTCATTATTGAGTAAAAGGCAACAAACGTAAAATTGGCTACGACAACACGTTATTTGGTAACGTTTGGCAAGTGCATTTTTTTATCCATATGAATGATTATTAATTCGGTATTCACTATGTTTTATCGACATAGTATTGTTACACTCTTCTACTTATTAAAACCTCATGGAATGCAATTAGATTAGCGTTATTAATTCCAAACCCGTATTAAACAATTTACCGAGCAATTGCACTAAACCGTGATTTTACTCCGCCAAATTAGCCTTACGACAATGTATTTATTTCCATTAATTTTCCCAAACAAAGTATACGAAAATAAATTAATTTTTCGAAGACCTATGAATGCTATGGACAATCTCAAATTTACCAGCATGTGTCATATTTTCGTTTCTTCCGTATGAGATTTGAAATTTGTTTTGACATTCTCGCTTATTAATATAAGCTACACAGTTGAACCAACTGGAGCAACAATCGTTACGTTTGAGGACAGTAGAACTCCATATATCGTTTTCATTGATAATAGTAAACCTAGCCTGACACTGCTTCAGTTTAGTTTTAGTTTTCATTTTCTTCTTGATAAAATATTGTAAAAATGTATACACACAGAAGGGTAACTGCTGGTAGGTCTTGAAATGCTCCTTGCTGTATTGTAGTTATTTGATTGCCGTTCAAATACCCGAAACAAAATAGGGGTAATGTTTCATATATTTTACAGAAAGGAAATTGTTTATTATCATTGATATGTGAATATTTATCTAGTTTTGATTAGTATTATATAATGATATTGGTTTGACCATGACTCCAGTTGATCAACAACTTTAAATAGAGGCAACATCAGTTAACATATGTTAAAACAAGCTACATTGACAGATTGTTTTGTAATGAACTATATGATCTTTTTTCAATTTTTCAAAGCAAAGTTTGTTTAATACGTTGTTTAGTATAAAATCATCATAGATTAAAATTGTGTGCGCCAGACGCGCAGTCCAATGTTAAATGCCTTTTTTATCCTTATTAGTAATGGCATATAACTTTATTATCTACTATAGATTGTCTATCTAGCTTTATTACACTCGTCTTCTTATTAAAAACTAATGGAATACAACCCCATTAGCGTTTTAAATACCTAACCGTTTACGACAATCAATGTATTTCCAGTCATTTTCCAGAACAAAATATGTGAAAATAATAAACACTTAATATAAACGTTGCTAAGCTGATATAACCTAAAGTATATCCCAAAACCGGACAAGGAATGAAAGCTCTGTATGAGGTAGATGACCAACATGTTTTGTGTTCGAATTATATTGCTCAGATTTAAGATTTTTTTATCCTGGCATCAATGATTAGTTTTTTCCAACCACTTGGTCGATGACACCTCTTATTGGGGTTTTCCTCCTGAGGAAATCATCAGCCTAGAAGTCAGCACTTCTATGTTGACATGAACGATTGTTGATATGGTCTCAATTATAAATTGACTGTTTACAAAACCTTTATTTTTTTCGAAAAACTAAGGATTTTCTACCAAAGGAATAGAGTACCTAATTAGCTTTATTTGGCATCATTTTCGGAATTTTTGGTCGTCAGTGTTCTTCAACTTCTTACTTCATTTAGCCTTTTTAACATTTTTAATTCGAGTGTCTAATGTATTTTTTTGGGGGGACAAAACGCGTACAAAATTTTAATTCTGGTGTCTGTGATGTGTCTTTATACTATGTCATGGTTTGTAGACAGTTGCTTCTCGTTTTTGTCATGGTTTTGTCGGGTTTTTTTTTACGACCTATGAATGCTATGGACAATCTCAAATTTACCAGCATGTGTCATATTTTTGTTTCTTCGGTTTGAGATTTGAATTTGGTTTGAAATTCTCACTTATTAATATATGCTACACAGTCTAACCAACTTGGGCAACAACCGTTACGTTTGAGGACGAAAAAACTCCATATACTATAATCATAGATAATAGTAAACCAAGTATGACATTGCTTTTGTTTAGGTTACGTTTTCCTTTTTCTCTTGATAAAATATTGTAAAAATGTATACATACAGAGAGGTTAGCGCTGGTAGGTCTTGAAATGTTCCTTCCTGTATTGAAGTTATTAGATTGCTGTACAAATCCCTGAAACGAAATAAAGGTAATGTTTCATATATTTTACACTAAGGAAATTGTTCATTATCACTGATATGTGAATTATTATCTAGTTTTGATTAATATTATATGATGATATTGGTGTGAATTTGAACCTAGTCGATCAAAAACCTGAAATATAGGTAACAGCGGTTTACAGATGATAAAAAAATCTACATTGACAAATTGTTTTCTAAGGAACTATATGATCCTTCTTCAATTTTTCAAAGCAAATTTGTTAAATAGCTTGTTTAATATAAAGTCATCATAGATTAAATTTGTGTACGCCAGACGTTCCGTGTACAGAAGACTCATCAGTAACGATCAAATAACAAAAGAGTTATAAAGCTCAATATATCATTCTGTAAAAGACAACAAACGTAAAATTGGCTACGACAACACGCCATATAGTATCGTATGGTAAATGCATTTTTTTTATCCTTATCAATGAATGATTACAACTTAAATATCTGCTATAAATTGCCCACCTAGCATTGTTACACTCGTCTACTTATTAAATTATAATGGAACGCAATCAAATAACCGCTTTAAATACCAAAACGTTTACTACAATCAATGAATTTTTAATCATTTTCCCGAACAAAATATGTCGAAATAATAAACACCTAATTAAAACGTCACCAAGCTGATATAACATAAAGTATATCCCAAAACCGAACAAGGAATGGGATTTCTGCCTGAGGTAGATGATCAATATGTTTTGTGTTTGGTTAATTTGCTAAGCTTTAAGTTTTGTTTTATCCTGGTATCAATGTATTTTGTTTTTCTTCCACTTGGTCGATCCAACTATTGATTGAGGTTTCCTCCCTAAGGTTATCATCAGCCTAGTAGTCAGGACTACTGTGTTGACATGCACTATTGATGATATGGTTATCATTATAATGTGACTGTTTAGAAAACCTTCAATTTGTCGAAAAACTAAGGATTTTCTACTAAAGGAATAGATTACCTCAGCTTTATTTTTCATCTCTTTCGAAAATTTGGGTCCTCAGAGTTCTTCAACTTTATATTTCATTTGGTCTTTTAACATTTTTGTTTCGAGTGTCACTGATGTGTTTTTTTCACAAAACGTGCGTCTGGCGTACACAGATTAAATCCTTGTGTATGTGATGTGTTTATTTACTATGTCATGAATGCAAATCGTGTGGCAAATTTTGAATAATGAATGATTATAACTTCCGTATCCCATATTCTTTGTCAGCCTGTCATTTTAACACTCGTTTTCTTAAAAACTCTATATATTTTAAACATTGATAGTAAACCTAGTCTACCAATGATTGAGTTTAGATTTAAATCTAATTTTCTTCATGATAGAATATAAAAACAATGTATACATACAGACGGTCTAGCGCTGGAAGGTCTTGAAATGTTCCTTGTTGTATTGTAGTTATTTGATTATTGTACAGATATCTGAAAAAAAAACTCTAGTACTGTTTTATATATGAGCGGTGTCTGATAGAAATTGATCTTCTGCAAGTGCACGTTGACATGTACATGCATAAGACTTTGATTGCTTTTAGAACATTCAAATACGAAATAAAAGATGAATTGTGGTCTGTTTTGTTTCTTAAATCAACTCAATACAAAACAATTACACACTTTGCATAGAAATTTGTTGAACCCGAAACTAGTTAACAAAGGTATTTATATTTATGTACATAGGGTCGATTTGTATGCAACGTAGTTCATATATTACTTTTACAAAAAGAAAATTGTATATTGATTTTGTGTTTCTGATATATGAAGATTTATCTAGTTTTTATAAATATTGTTTATTTATATTGATGTGCCAATAACGCCAGTCAGTTAACTATTTTCAATATAGGCAACAACAGTTTACAGATGTTCAAACAGACCTCATTGACAGATTATTTTCTAATGAACTATATGATCATTCTTCAATATTTAAAAGCAAAGTGTTTATAATAAGTTGTTTAATATAAACTCGTCATAGATATTAAGATTCAAATCTTGGACGTCAGACGCGTTTTTCATCTGCAAAAGACTCATCAGCAATGCTTGAATAAAAAAAGTTCAATTCATTATTGAGTAAAAGGCAACAAACGTAAAATTGGCTACGACAACACGTTATTTGGTAACGTATGGCAACTGACTTTTTTATCCGTATCAATGAATAATTATTAATTCGGTATTCACTATGTTTTATCGACCTAGTATTGTTACACTCTTCTACTTATTTAAACCTCATGGAATGCAATCAAATTAGCGTTATTAATACCAAACCCGTATTAAACAATTTACCAAGCAATTGCACTAAACCATGATTTTACTCCGCCAAATTAGCCTTACGACAATTAATTTATTTACATTAATTTTCCCGAACAAAATATATGAAAATAATAAACACCTAGTTTAAACGTTGCCAAGCTGATATAACCTAAAGTATATCCCAAAAGAAGACACGGAATGAGAGCTTTGCATGAGGTAGATAATCAACATGTTTTTGTTTGTTTCATTTTGCTCAGACTTAAGTTTTTTTTACTACCACTTGGTCGATGACACTACTGATGGAGGTGTCCTTCCGGGTTAATCATCAGCTTAGTAGTCAGCACATCTGTGTTGACATGCATTATTGTTGATATAATCATATTTATAAATTAACTGTTTATAACACTTTTAATTTTCGAAAAAAGCTAAGGATTTTATACCCAAAAAATAGAATACCTTAGTTTTATTTGGGATCCCTTTCGGAAATCTTGGTTGTCAGCGTTTTTCAACCTCGTACTGTATTTAGCCTTTTTACCATTTTTAATTCGAGTGTCAAATGTGTTTTGTTTTTTTGACAAAACGCGCGTCTGGCGTACAAAATTGTAATCCTGGTGTCTGTGATATGTTTATATACTATGTCATTTTTGTAGACAGTAACTTTTCGTTCTTTCAATGGTTTTGTCGTTTTTTCGACGACCTATGGCCAATCTCAAGTTAAATAGCATGTGTCATATTTTCGTTTCTTCCGTGTGAGATTTGAAATTTGTTTTGACATTCTCGCTTATTAATATAAGCTACACAGTCGAACCAACTGGAGCAACAACCGTTACGTTTGAGGACAGCAGAACTCCATATATCGTTATCATTTATACTAGTAAACCTAGTCTGACACTGCTTCAGTTTAGTTTAAGTTTTCATTTTCTTCTTGATAAAATATTGTAAAAATGTATACACACAGAAGGGTAATTGCTGGTGGGTCTTGAAATGCTCTTTGCTGTATTGTAGATATTTGATTGTCGTTCAAATACTCGAAACAAAATAGGGGTAATGTTTCATATATTTTACAGAAAGGAAATTGTTTATTATCATTGATATGTGAATATTTATCTAGTTTTGATTAGTATTATATAATGATATTGTTGTGACCATGACGCCAGTTGATCAACAACTTTAAATAGAGGCAAAATCAGTTAACATATGTTCAAACAAGCTACATTGACAGATTGGTTTGTAATGAACTATATGATCTTTCTTCAATTTTTCAAAGCAAAGTTTGTTTAAGAAGTTGTTTAATATAAAATCATCATAGATTAAAATTGTGTGCGCCAGACCCGCAGTCCGTGTACAGAAGTCTCATCGGTAACGCTCGAATCACAAAAAGTTATTAAGCTCAGTATATTATTGTGTAAAAGGCAACAAACGTACAATTGGCCACGACAAAACGTTATTTGGTATCGTATGGTAAATGCCTTGTTTATCCTTATCATTAATGGAAAATAACTTTAGTATCTGCTATAGATTGTCTACCTAGCTTTATTACACTCGTCTTCTTATTAAAAAACTAATGAAATACAACCCGATTAGCGTTTTAAATACCAAACCGTTTACGACAATCAATGTATTTCCAGTCATTTTTCAGAACAAAATATGTGAAAAAAATCAACACATAATTTAAACGTTGCTAAGCTGATATAACCTAAAGTATATACCAAAACCGGACAAGGAATGAAAGCTCTGTATGACGTAGATGATCAACATGTTTTGTGTTTGATTTATATTGCTCAGATTTAAGTTTTTTTTAACCTGGCGTCAATGATTAGTTTTTTCCCGACCACTTGGTCGATGACACCACTTATTGGGGTTTTTTCCCTGAGGAGATCATCAGCCTAGTAGTCAGCACTTCTATGTTGACCTGAACGAATGTGATATGGTCATAATTATAAATTGACTGTTTACAAAACCTTTAATTTTTTCGAAAAAACTAAGGATTTTCTACCAAAGGAAAATATTACCTTAGCTTTATTTAGCATCATTTTCGGAATTTTTGGTCGTCAGTGTTCTTCAACTTCTTACTTCATTTAGCCTTTTTAACATTGTTAATTCGAGTGTCTAATGTATGTTTTTTGGGTACAAAACGCGAGTCTGGCGTACAAAATTTTAATTCTGGTGTCTGTGATGTGTCTTTATACTATGTCATGGTTTGTAGACAGTTGCTTCTCGTTTTTGCCATGGTATGTCATTTTTTCGACGACCTATGAATGCTATGGACAATCTCAAATTTACCAGCATGTGTCATATTTTTGTTTCTTCGGTTTGAGATTTGAATTTGGTTTGAAATTCTCGCTTATTAATATATGCTACACAGTCTAACCAATTTGGGCAACAACCGTTACGTTTGAGGACGACAGAACTCCATATACTGTAATAATGGATAATAGTAAATTAAGTTTGACACTGATTTTGTTTAGATTAAGTTTTCATTTTCCTCTTGATCAAATATTGTAAAAATGTATACATACAGAGAGGTTAGCGCTGGTAGGTCTTGAAATGCTCCTTCCTGTATTGAAGTTATCTGATTGCTGTACAAATACCTGAAACGAAATAATGGTAATGTTTCATATATTTTACACTAAGGAAATTGTTTATTATCACTGATATGTGAATTATTATCTAGTTTTGATTAATATTATATGATCATATTGGTGTGAATTTGAACCTAGTCGATCACAAACCTTAAATATAGGTAACAGCGGTTTACAGATGATCAACAAATCTACATTGACAAATTGTTTTCTAAGGAACTGTATGATCCTTCTTCAATTTTTCAAATTAAATTGGTTTAATAACTTGTTTAATACAAAGTCATCATAGATTAAGTTTGTGTACGCCAGACGTGCGTTCCGTGTACAAAAGACTCATCAGTAACGATCAAATCACAAAAAAGTTATCAAGCTCAATATATCATTGTGTAAAAGACAACAAACGTAAAATTGGCCACGACAACACGCCATTTAGTATCGTAAGGTAAATGCGTTTTTTTTTATCCTTATCAATGAATGATTACAACTTAAATATCTGCTATAGATTGCCTACATAGCATTGTTACACTCGTCTACTTAATAAAACTAATAGAACGCAATCAAATTACTGCTTCAAATAAAAAAAACGTTTACTACAATCAATGTATTTACAATCATTTTCCCGAACAAAATATGTCGAAATAATAAACACCTAATTTAAACGTTGCCAAGCTGTTATAACCTAAAGTATATCCCAAAACCGAACAAGGAATGGGATTTCTGCCTGAGGTAGGTGATCAATATGTTTTGTGTTTGGTTTATTTGCTAAGCTTTAAGTTCTTTTTATCCTGGTATCAATGATGAGTTTTTTTTTCTACTACTTGGTCGATCCAACTATTGATTGAGGTTTCCTCCCTTAGGTTATCATCAGCCTTGTAGTCAACACTTCTGTGTTGACATTCACTATTGATGATATGGTTATCATTATAATGTGACTGTTTACAAAACCTTTAATTTTTCGAAAAACTAAAGATTTTCTACTAAAGGAATAGATTACCTCAGCTTTATTTGTCACCCTTTTCGAAAATTTGGGTCCTCAGAGTTCTTCAACTTCATACTTCATTTTGCCTTTTTAACATTTTTGTTTCGAGTGTCAATGATGTGTTTTTTTCTCAAAACGTGCGTCTGGCGTACACAGATTAAATCCTGGTGTATGTGATGTGTTTATTTACTATGTCATGAATGCAAATCGTGTGGCAAATTATGAATAATGAATGATTATAACTTCCGTATCCCATATTCTTTGTCAGCCTGTCATTTTTACACCCGTTTTCTTAAAAACTCCATATATTTTAAACATTGATAGTAAACCTAGTCTATCAATGATTGAGTTTGATTTATATCTAATTTTCTTCATGATAGAATATAAAAACAATGTATACATACAGACGGTCTAGCGCTGGAAGGTCTTGAAATGTTCCTTGTTGTATTGTAGTTATTTGATTATTGTACATATATCTGAAAACAAAACCCTGGTACTGTTTTATATATGAGCGGTGTCTGATAGAAATTGATCTTCTGCAAGTGCACGTTTACATGTACATGCATAAGACTGTGATTGCTTTTAGATAATTCAAATACGAAATAAAAGATGAATTGTGGTCTGTTTTGTTTCTTATATCAACTCAATACAAAACAATTACAGACTTTGCATAGAAATTTGTTGAACACGAAACTAGTTAACAAAGGTATTTATATTCATATACATATGGTCGATTTCTATCCAACGCAGCTCATATATTACTTTTACACTAAGAAAATTGTATATTGATTTTGCGTTTCTGATATATGAAGATTTATCTAGTTTTGATAAATATTGTTTATTTATATTGATGTGCCAATAACGCCAGTCAGTTAACTATTTTCAATAAAGGCAACAACAGTTTACAGATGTTCAAACAGACCTCAGTGACAGATTTATTTCTTATGAACTATATGATCATTCTTCAATATTTAAAAGCGAAGTGTTTATAATAAGTTGTTTAATAAAAACTCGGCATAGCTATTAGGATTCAAATCTTGGACGTCAGACGCGTTTTTCATCTGCAAAAGACTCATCAGCAATGCTTGAATAAAAAAAGTTCAATTCATTATTGAGTAAAAGGCAACAGACGTAAAATTGGCTACGACAACACGTTATTTGGTAACGTATGGCAAGTGCCTTTTTTTATCCGTATCAATGAATAATTATTAATTCGGTATTCACTATGTTTTATCTTCCTAGTATTGTTACACTCTTCTACTTATTAAATACTCATGGAATGCAATCAAATTAGCGTTATTAATACCAAACCCGTATTAAACAATTTACCAAGCAATTGCACTAAACCATGATTTTACTCCGCCAAATTAGCCTTACGACAATTAATTTATTTACATCAATTTTCCCGAACAAAATATATGAAAATAATAAACACCTAGTTTAAACGTTGCCAAGCTGATATAACCTAAAGTATATCCCAAAAGAAGACAAGGAACGAAAGCTTTGCATGAGGTAGATAATCAACATGTTTTTTGTTTGGTTCATTTTGCTCAGACTTAAGTTTTTTTTTACTACCACTTGGTCGATGACACTACTGATGGAGGTTTCCTTGCGGGTTAATCATCAGCATAGTAGTCAGCACATCTGTGTTGACATGCATTATTGTTGATGTAATCATAATTATAAATTTACTGTTTATAACACTTTTAATTTTCGAAAAAGCTAAGGATTTTATACCCAAAAAATAGAATACCTTAGTTTAATTTGGGATCCCTTTCGGAAATCTTGGTTGTCAGCGTTCTTTCAACCTCGTACTGTATTTAGCCTTTTTAACATTTTTAATTCGAGTGTCAAATGTGTTTTGTTTTTCGACAAAACGCGCGTCTGGCGTACAAAATTGTAATCCTGGTGTCTGTGATATGTTTAGATACTATGTCATGTTTTGTAGACAGTAACTTTTCGTTTTTTCAATGGTTTAGTCGTTTTTTTCGACGAGCTATGGACAATCTCAAGTTTACCAGCATGTTTCATATTTTCGTTCCTTCCGTGTGAGATTTTAAATTTGTTTTGACATTCTCGCTTATTAATATAGCTACACAGTCGAACCAACTGGAGCAACAACCGTTACGTTTGAGGACAGCAGAACTCCATATATCGTTATCATTGATAATAGTAAACCTAGTCTGACACTGTTTTAGTTTATTTTTAGTTTTCATTTTCTTCTTGATCAAATATTGTAAAAATGTATACACACAGAAGGGTAACTGCTGGAAGGTCTTGAAATGCTCCTTGCTGTATTGTAGTTATTTGATTGCCGTTCAAATACCCGAAACAAAATAGGGGTAATGTTTCATATATTTTACAGAAAGGAAATTGTTTATTATTATTGATTTGTGAATATTTATCTAGTTTTTATTAGTATTATAGAATGATATTGGTGTGACCATGACGCCAGTTGATCAACAACTTTAAATAGAGGCAACATCAGTTAACATATATTTAAACAAGCTACTTTAACATATTGTTTTGTAATGAAATATATGATCATCTTCTATTTTTCAAAGCAAAGTTTGTTTAATAAGTTGTTTAATATAAAATCATCATATATTAAAATTGTGTGCGCCAGACAAGAAATGGGAGCTCTGCATGAGGTAGATGATCAACAAGTTTTTGTATGGGTTAGTTTGCTCAGACTTAAGTTTTTTTTTATCCTGGTATCAATGATGAGTTTATTTATCACCCCTTGGTCGATGACACTACTGATTGAGGTTTCATTTATGGGGGTGTGTAGTAGTCAGCATTTCTGTGTTGACATGCACTATAGTTGCTATGGTCATAATAATAAATCAACTGTTTACAAGACCTTTAACTTTTCGAGATACTAAGATTTTCTACCCAAGGAATAGATTACCTCAGCATCATTTGGCATCCCTTTCGAAAATTTGGCCTTTTTAACATTTTTGTTTCGAATGTCACTGATGTGTTTTTAGACATTTTAGACGAAACGCGCGTCTAGCGTACACATTTTAAATCCTGATGTTTGTGATTTGTTTGTTTACTATGTCATGATTGTAAATCGTGTGGCAATTCTTTTTATTAATCTTATCAATGAATGATTATAAACTCCGTATCCCACGAATGTGTTTAATTCCGATGCAAAGACCCTATAAGTGAATTAATATTAAAGCCAAAATATGCAATCTTTAATGACCTGACAACAGTATCGTAACTATATCCTTTCTTAATAAGTCTGTTTAAAGGTTTTGTTAGCAGCTTTTGAGGTGAATACTGACATTTTTGTGCTTTGTAAAGAATATTACCATAAACGATTGGATGTGAAATACCCGAACGTATAAGATGTCTGCATGTTGAGTTATATTTACGAATGTTGTCCTTATACCGATGATAAAATTTAGTAAATGTTTTGACTAGTTTATGATATCGAAAACCCTGGTGTAATAATGTTTCAGTAATACATAAATTTCTCTCGCTAAAATCTAATACGTTGTTCCATACACGAGCGAATCGAAGTTGAGATATATAAATACCATAAGATGGTGACAAGGGAACGTCACCATCAAAAAATGGATAATTAACGACAGGAAATGAAAAATCATCTCTTTTATCATAAATTTTTGTATTAAGCTTCCCGTTAATGATATAGATATCAAGATCGAGAAAAGGACAGTGGTCATTGTTAGTATTAACTTTATTTAAAGTAAGTTAAACAGGATCAATTTCTATTGTATACATACTGAAGTCGTCATTATTGAGAGCCAATATATCATCCAAATATCTAAAAGTATTGTTAAATTTTTGTATCAGATGTTGTTTCGATGGGCCTTTGCTGATTCTAGTCATAAATTGTAACTCATAACAATACAAGAACAGGTCTGCAATAAGTGGTGCACAGTTAGTCCCCATTGGAATTCCGATAACTTGACGATATACGGAATCTCCAAAAATGTTATCAAGTAAAAATTCAAGGGCAGATATAGTATCAAAGCATGTCCAATTGATATAGTTTTTTTGTTTGTTGCTACTAAAAATACATACAGACGGTCAAGCGATGGTAAGTCTTGAAATGTTCCTTGTTGTATTGTAGTTATTTGATTGTTGTCCAGGTATCTGAAAAAAAACCGGTACTGTTTAATATATGAGCGGTGTCAGATAGAAATTGACCTTATGCAAGTGCATGTATACATGTACATGTATAAGATTTGGTCGTTCTTGGAACATTCAAATACGAAATAAAAAAATGAATTGTGGTGTGTTTTGTTTATTATATCAACTCAGTAGTACAAAACAGTTACAGACTTTGTATAGAAATTTGTTCAACCCGAAATTAGTTAACAAAGGTATTTATATTCATTTACATAGGGTCGATTTCTATCCAACGCAGCTCATATATTACTTTTACACTAAGAAAATTGTATATTGATTTTGTGTTTCTGATATATGAAGATTTAACTAGTTTGGGAAATATTGTTTATTGATATTTATGTGACAATGACGCCAGTCAGTTAACAATTTTCAATATAGGCAACAACAGTTTACAGATATTCAAACAGACCACATTGACAGATTATTTTCTAATGAACTATATGATCATTTTTCAATTTTTTAAAGCAACTCGTCATATATACCAGGATTAAAATCTTGGACGGCTGACGCGGTTTCGTGTGAAAAAGGTTTATCAGTAACGTTCGAATCAAAAAAGTTCAATACCGTATTGAGTAAAAGACAACAAACGTAAAATTGGCTACGACTGCACGTAATTTGGTAACGTATGGCAAATGCATTTTTTTATCCGTATCAATTAATAGTTATTACTTCGGTATTCACTATGTTCTGTCTACTTAGTATTGTAACACTTTTTTACCTAATTAAAACTAATAAGATGAAAGCAAATAAGCGCTTGTTATACCAAATACGTATTGAACAATTTACAGAGTAATAGCATTAAACCATGATTTTACTCCGCCAGATAAGTCTCACGACAATTAATTTATTTACAGTCGTTTACCAGAACAAAATATGTGAAAATAATAAACACATAATTTAAACATTGCCAAACTAATATAGCCTTAAGTATATCTCAAAACTGAACAGGAAATGGGATATCTGCATGAGGTAGATGATTGACTTTTTTTTGTATGGGTAATTTTGCTCAGACTAAAGTTTTTTTTTAATACAACTTGGTCGTTGACACTACTGATGGAAGTTTCACTCCTAGGGTATCATCAGCCTAGTAGTCAGCACTTCTGTGTTGACATTCACTGTTGTTGATATGGTCATAATTATAAGTTGACTGTTTACAAAACCTTTAATTTTTTCGAAAAACTAAGGATTTTCTACCAAAGGAATAGATTACCTTAGCTTTATTTGGCATCATTTTCGGAAATTTTGGTCGTCAGTGTTCTTCAACTTCTTACTTCATTTAGCCTTTTTAACATTTTTAATTCGAGTGTCTAATGTATTTTTTGGGACAAAACGCGCGTCTGGCGTACAAAATCTTAATTCAGGTGTCTGTGATGTGTCTTTATACTATGTCATGGTTTGTAGACAGTTGCTTCTCATTTTGCCATGGTTTTGTCGTTTTTTCGACGACCTATGAATGCTATGGACAATCTCAAATTTACCAGCATGTGTCATATTTTTGTTTCTTCGGTTTGATATTTGAATTTGGTTTGAAATTCTCGCTTATTAATATATGCTACACAGTCTAACTAACTTGGGCATCAACCGTTACGTTTGAGGACGACAGAACTCCATATACTGTAATCATGGATAAAATTAAACCAAGTATGACACTGCTTTTGTTTAGATTAAGTTTTCATTTTCCTCTTGATCAAATATTGTAAAAATGTATACATACAGAGAGGTTAGCGCTGGTAGGTCTTGAAATGCTCCTTCCTGTATTGAAGTTATTTGATTGCTGTACAAATACCTGAAACGAAATAATGGTAATGTTTCATATATTTTACACTAAGGAAATTGTTTATTATCACTAATATGTAAATTATTATCTAGTTTTGACTAATATTATATGATGATATTGGTGTGAATTTGAACTTAGTCGATCAAAAACCTTAAATATAGGTAACAGCGGTTTACAGATGATCAGCAAATCTACATTGACAAATTGTTTTCTAAGGAACTGTATGATCCTTCTTCAATTTTTCAATTTCAAATTGGTTTAACAACTTGTTTAATATAAAGTCATCATAGATTAAGTTTGTGTACGCCAGACGCGCGTTCCGTGTACAAAAGACTCATCAGTAACGATCAAATCACAAAAAAGTTATAAAGCTCAATATATCATTGTGTAAAAGACAACATACGTAAAATTGGCCACGACAACACGCCATTTAGTATCGTATTGTAAATGCGTTTTTTGTTATCCTTATCAATGAATGATTACAACTTAAATATCTGCTATAGATTGCCTACCTAGCATTGTTACACTCGTCTACTTATTAAAAACAAATGGAACGCAATCAAATAACCGCGTTAAATACCAAAACTTTTACTACAATCAATGTATTTACAATCATTTTCCCGAACAAAATATGTCGAAATAATAAACACCTAATTTAAACGTTGCCAAGCTGATATAACCTAAAGTATATCCAAACACCGAACAAGGAATGGGAGTTTTGCCTGAGGTAAATGATCAATATGTAATGTGTTTGGTTTATTTGCTAAGCTTTAAGTTTTTTTTTATCCTGGTATCAATGATGAGTTTTTTTTCTACTACTTGGTCGATCCAACTATTGATTGAGGTTTCCTCCCTGAGGTTATCATCAGCCTAGTAGTCAACACTTCTGTGTTGACATTCACTATTGATGATATGGTTATCATTATAATGTGACTGTTTACAAAACCTTTAATTTTTCGAAAAACTAAAGATTTTTTACTAAAGGAATAGATTACCTCAGCTTTATTTGTCACCCCTTTCGAAAATTTGGGTCCTCAGAGTTCTTCAACTTCATACTTCATTTGGCCTTTTTAACATTTTTGTTTCGAGTGTCAATGATGTGTTTTTTTCTCAAAATGAGCGTCTGGCGTACACAGATTAAATCCTGGTGTATGTGATGTGTTTATTTACTATGTCATTAATGCAAATCGCGTGGCAAATTTGGAATAATGAATGATGATAACTTCCGTATCCCATATTCTTTGTCAGCCTATCACTGTTACACTCGTCTTCTTAAAAACTCCATATATCGTTAACATTGATAGTGAACCTAGTCTATCAATGATTGAGTTTGGTTATATTTATATTTCTTTATGATAAAATATAAAAACAATGTATACATACAGACGGTCCAGCGCTGGAAGGTCTTGAAATGTTCCTTGTTGTATTGCAGTTATTTGGTTGTTGTACAGATATCTGAAGAAAAAAGTCCCTGGTACTGTTTTATATATGAGCGGTGTCCTGATAGAAATTGATCTTCTGCAAATGCACGTTTACATGTACATGCATAAGACTTTGATCGTTTTTGAAACATTCAAATACGAAATAAAAGATGAATTGTGGTTTGTTGTGTTTCTTATATCAACTCAATACAAAACAGTTACAGACATTACATAGAAATTTGTTGAACCCGAAACTAGTTAACAAAGGTATTTATATTCATTGACATAAGGTCGATTTCTGTCAAGGAATGAAAGCTCTGTATGAGGTAGATGATCAACATGTTTTGTGTTTGGTTAATTTTGCTCAGATTTAAGTTTTTCTTAATCCTGGCATCAATGATTTTTTTTCTACCACTTGGTCGATGACACTACTGATTGAGGTTTCCTCCGTGAGGTGATCATCAGCCTAGTAGTCAGCACTTCTGTGTTCACATGAACTATTGTTGATATTGTCATAATTATGAATTGACTGTTTACCAAGCCTTTAATTTTTCGAAAAACTAAGGATTTTCTACTAAAGGAATAGATTACCTCAGCTTTATTTGGCTTCCCATTCAAAAATTCGGGTCCTCAGATTTCTTCAACTTCTTAATTTATTTGGCCTTTTAATAATTTTTTTCGAGTTTCACTGGTGTGTTTCTTAAGACAAAACGCTCACATGGCGTAGACAGATTAAATCCTGGTGTATGTGATGTGTTTATTTACTATGTCATGAATGCAAATTGCGTGGCAAATTTCGAATAATGAATGATTATAACTTCCGTATCCCATATTCTTTGTCAGCCTATCACTGTTACACTCGTCTTCTTAAAAACTCCATATATTGTTAACATTGATAGTGAACCTAGTCTATCAATGATTGAGTATGGTTATATCTATTTTTCTTTATCATAAAATATAAAAACAATGTATACATACATACGGTCCAGCGCTGGAAGGTCTTGAAATGTTCCTTGTTGTATTGCAGTTATTTGATTGTTGTACAGATATCTGAAGAAAAAAAACCCCTGGTACTGTTGTATATATGAGCGGTGTCCTGATAGAAATTGATCTTCTGCAAATGCACGTTTACATGTACATGCATAAGACTTTGATCGTTTTTGAAACATTCAAATACGAAATAAAAGATGAATTGTGGTTTGTTGTGTTTCTTATATCAACTCAATACAAAACAGTTACAGACATTACATAGAAATTTGTTGAACCCGAAACTAGTTAACAAAGGTATTTATATTCATTGACATAAGGTCGATTTCTGTCAAGGAATGAAAGCTCTGTATGAGGTAGATGATCAACATGTTTTGTGTTTGGTTAATTTTGCTCAGATTTAAGTTTTTCTTAATCCTGGCATCAATGATTTTTTTCTACCACTTGGTCGATGACACTACTGATTGAGGTTTCCTCCCTGAGGTGATCATCAGCCTAGTAGTCAGCACTTCTGTGTTCACATGAACTGTTGTTGATATTGTCATAATTATGAATTGACTGTTTACAAAGCCTTTAATTTTTCGAAAAACTAAGGATTTTCTACTAAAGGAATAGATTACCTCAGCTCTATTTGGCATCCCATTCAAAAATTCGGGTCCTCAGATTTCTTCAACTTCTTAATTTATTTGGCCTTTTAATAATTTTTTTCGAGTTTCACTGGTGTGTTTCTTAAGACAAAACGCGCACATGGCGTAGACAGATTAAATCCTGGTGTATGTGATGTGTTTATTTACTATGTCATGAATGCAAATCGCGTGGCAAATTTCGAATAATGAATGATTATAACTTCCGTATCCCATATTCTTTGTCAGCCTATCACTGTTACACTCGTCTTCTTAAAAACTCCATATATCGTTAACATTGATAGTGAACCTAGTCTATCAATGATTGAGTTTGGTTATATTTATTTTTCTTTATGATAAAATATAAAAACAATGTATACATACAGACTGTCCAGCGCTGGAAGGTCTTGAAATGTTCCTTGTTGTATTGCAGTTATTTGATTGTTGTACAGATATCTGAAGAAAAAAAAAACCCTGGTACTGTTTTATATATGAGCGGTGTCCTGATAGAAATTGATCTTCTACAAATGCACGTTTACATGTACATGCATAAGACTTTGATCGTTTTTGAAACATTCAAATACGAAATAAAAGATGAATTGTGGTTTGTTGTGTTTCTTATATCAACTCAATACAAAACAGTTACAGACATTACATAGAAATTTGTTGAACCCGAAACTAGTTAACAAAGGTATTTATATTCATTGACATAAGGTCGATTTCTGTCAAGGAATGAAAGCTCTGTATGAGGTAGATGATCAACATGTTTTGTGTTTGGTTAATTTTGCTCAGATTTAAGTTTTTCTTAATCCTGGCATCAATGATTTTTTTTCTACCACTTGGTCGATGACACTACTGATTGAGGTTTCCTCCCTGAGGTGATCATCAGCCTAGTAGTCAGCACTTCTGTGTTCACATGAACTATTGTGACATTGTCATAATTATGAATTGACTGTTTACAAAGCCTTTAATTGTTCGAAAAACTAAGGACTTTCTACTAAAGGAATAGATTACCTCAGCTTTATTTGGCATCCCATTCGAAAATTTGGGTCCTCAGATTTCTTCAGCTTCTAAATTTATTTGGCCTTTTAATATTTTTTTTTCGAGTTTCACTGGTGTGTTTCTTAAGACAAAACACGCACCTGGCGTACACAGATTAAATCCTGGTGTATGTGATGTGTTTATTTACTATGTCATGAATGCAAATCGCGTGGCAAATTTGGAATAATGAAAGATTATAACTTCCGTATCCCATATCCTTTGTCAGCCTATCACTGTTACACTCGTCTTCTTAAAAACTCCATATATCGTTAACATTGATAGTAAACCTAGTCTATCAATGATTGAGTTTGGTTATATTTATTTTTCTTTATGATAAAATATAAAAACAATGTATACATACAGACGGTCCAGCGCTGGAAGGTCTTGAAATGTTCCTTGTTGTATTGCAGTTATGTTATTGTTGTACAGATATCTGAAGAAAAAAACCCTAGTACTGTTTTATATATGAGCGGTGTCTGATAGAAATTGATCTTCTGCAAATGCACGTTTACAGGTATAGCATAAGACTTTGATCGTTTTTGAACATTCAAATACGAAATAAAAGATGAATTGTGGTATGTTTTGTTTCTTATATCAACTCAATACAAAACAGTTACAGACATTACATAGAAATTTGTTGAACCCGAAACTAGTTAACAAAGGTATTTATATTCATTGACATAAGGTCGATTCTATCCAACGCATCTCATATATTACTCTAAGAAAATTGTATGTTGTATTTCTGATATATGAAGATTTATCTAGTTTTAATAAAAATTGTATATTTACATTGATGCGACAATGACGCCAGTCAGTTAACTATTTTCAATATAGGCAACAACAGTTTACAGATGTTCAAACAGACCTCATTGACAGATTATTTTCTAATGAACTAATTGATCATTCTTCAATATTTAAAAACAAAGTGTTTTTAATAAGTTGTTTAATAAAAACTCGTCATAGATATTAGGATTCAAATCTTAGACGCCAGACGCGTTTTTCATCTGCAAAAGACTCATCAGCAACGCTTGAATAAAAATAGTTCAATTCATTATTGAATAAAAGGCAACAAACGTCAAATTGGCTTCGACAACACGTTATTTGGTAACGTATGGCAAGTGCTTTTTTTATCCGTATCAATGAATTATTCTTAATTCGGTATTCACTATGTTTTATCTACTTAGTTTTGTAACACTCTTCTACTTATTAAATACTCATGGAATGCAAACAGATTAGCGTTTTTAATACCAAACCCGTATTAAACAACTTACCGAGCAATTGCACTAAACCATGATTTTACTCCGCCAGATTAGCCTTACGACAATTAATTTATTTACATTCATTTTCCAGAACAAAATATATGAAAATAACAAACACCTAGTTTAAACATGTGTTAAACGTTAACAAGCTGATATAACCTAAAGTATATCCCGAAAGAAGACAAGGAATGAGAGCTCTGCATGAGATAGATAATCAACATGTTGATGTTTGGTTCATTTTGATGACAGAACTCCATGTATAGTAATCATTGATAATAGTAAACCAAGTCTACCACTGCTTTTGTTAAGATTCAGTTTTCATTTTCATCTTGATAAATATTGTAAAAATGTATACATACAGACGGTTTATAGCTGTTAGGTTTTGAAATAATCCTTGCTGTATTGAAGTTATTTGATTGCTGTACAAATACCTGAAACAAAATAATGGTAACGTTTCATACATTTTACACTAAGGAAATTGTTTTTTCTCTTATGGTTGTGGCTTGTTATCTATTTCTTCCTTGAAAAAGATATTTTTCTTATCAAACTACACGGAGTGTGATACGAAAGAGTGATACGAAAGCTGCTTTAATTTGATTGGCTTATCCAGCATCACGACATTTCCATTGTCTATTCATTGGGTCATAGATGGTTTTCAATGGTTAAGACGATGTACATTTCATCCATGGCAACGGATATATGCGATTTCTTCAACGATACACAAAACACTTACACTTTTCACCTGAAAATCTTCTTTTTGAAATATTTCATTACATTCTGAAGCGTACAAAAAGTTTTAAAATGTCTAGTGTTAAAGTTTGACGCTGGAACAGGACATATGACGTCATACTGATATGTGCAAAAGACTAGATCAATGATTCTAGGATTTTTTAATTCAACACAATAAAAGTGTCTACCATAAGAGAAATAGGTGATAATTGGATATCGCTTGATATCATCTGTCGTTATTTAATTTTAAATATTAATAATAAACTCTCCGAAGGCTCGTTTATTATTATATTGAAATTAAATAATTTGAGTTGATATGAAGCGATATCCAATTCTAACTCATTATGAAACCTATAAATATTCATTGGTATGTGAATATCTATAAATATTTTAT